CGGACGATTCCGCGGTCTAATTATTTTTGTTCGGTCTAGCGGTTTCAGTACGTAACACCGCAATATAAGACGGTTAAAACGGGTGGAACCCCAGAACCGTTGTCAACCCATATTTAACGTATTCAACCGCGGTCAACAAACGGGAAACCTACACCGTGATTGTCCAAAAACGCACACGCGAAATGTTCTTTGCTTCGCCGGTGAATATCACCGCGCGAATTCGCGGATTTCAGGTTTTTGCTGCTTGATTTCAATTTCTGTAGTTTGGTTTATCCTAGCAACTGCGGGTCTTTTCGCGCGCGAAACTTTACTCGGTGGCTCGAAAACGTTTGCTGTTACATGGCGCGAAGACTTTTGCTCTAGCAAAAGGAGTGTGTGTGTTGTACTGTACGAACTGTGCTTGCGCATGTATGAGCCACGGATGTCGGTGGTGTCCTGCAAATTGCCAGATACTTTCGCGGTCATGAAAAAATCTCGATGGTGCACACAAAATGCAAATTGCCATATACTTTCGCGGTCATGAAAAAAGCACGCAAGCGTGCCGTTCCATGAGTGTGTAGATCAAGTCAGCAAGATTTTTCGCACGGGCTGGAAAATGCTGAAGAATGAAACCACGGGTAGATTCTTCTGCCGTTTATTTCGAGTTTCCAGACTTCACGCGGAAGCTGTTTCTGCCTTGCGTGATTTGATGTTTTCCCAATGTTTTCGTGGGGCACGCGAAATGCTGTTGCAGGAATGTGAAATGTATCTCAGGCGCGAAATTTGTTTCCATGTTCCCCACGTTTCGTGGATCACGCGAAATTTTGTTGCATGTGGGTGAAATGAATTTTCCGGGTTGTTTTCAGGCGCAAAATTTATTTCTATTTTCCCTGTTTCGTGGGACACGCGAATTGCAGTTTCAGGAAGGTGCAATGTATTTCACGTGAAATGTATCTCAGGCGCGAAATGAATTTCACGGGGATGCACTCAACGTCTTGACAAAACGGTTACTCTCTCTCGTCAGTGGTCGTGAAGCGTTAGATTTTCTGTTCGCAAAAGAAGACGGCCATAGGATCAGCTGGAAAATTGGTTGCGATGGAATTTTGTGGTTGTCAACGAGATAACGACACTTGAATCTCGTCGTCGACCACTGATGCTCCGACACTTCAGTGTTCTACGACGATTCCGAGCTCGACACGTGTTGCGCGGACGCGGAAACGAAGCTCCCCGCGGGATTCCCCTCAACACGTGGTCCAATGGGGCGATTTGTAACCCGGATGTTTTCTAGGCTGTTGTCGGCCCGAAGGAACTTCGGAGCTCCCAAGGGTCAACTTCGGACGGGCGGCCACTTCGGACGTGGTTCCGCGGGTGGCCGACTGACGTCACATTTCCCGCCCGCTCGCCTGGGTAATCATGCGCGGATGACGTCATTTCTTCACTGTTCGTATGTATTATCCAGACAGCACATCGCCAGTCGACCTTTCGCGAAACAATTTCTGCATCCGCATCCAGGATCAAGCAACGCCCACGCCAATTCACCCCGTCCAACGGCATCCGTCGAAGCCTCACTATCAACAACTTTGGTGGTTGAACACTTGCCAGGGTGTCCAACTTCGCGAAATAAGCTTGTGGAATGAACACTCTTTTACTGTAGGTGCATTGCAGTGAACTTTGTACCCATCCTCATGGTTTTACTATCTCGCTAAATACCACAAACCCTCGATTCTGAGGATATACAGGGGACATGTAATCAGAGCTTTCGGAGACAGTCACACTTAAAGCTGCGGTCTACATACTTTGAGCGGGGAGGGATGGTTTATCACTTGAAAACAGGGTTACTTTTTGTGTCGCGGACCCCTGCGGAAAACCCAACAATCGACGCGGAATGAAGGGGGGGGGGGGCTAGTTGGAGTCACATCGCACACTAGTTTCACTGAGTGGATTGGTTCGCTGTCAAATCAGTGGCCGTCATAGGGTGCTCTCCATAAATGCCCCCGGAAAATGCCTCAAAGTATGTAGACCGCAGCTTTAAGAGTCGCTGAAGTGTAATTCACTTAATCTGTTGATTGCAATCGAGGGGCGTGGTGCAGATCGGGGCGATCTGAGGCTGATTGCCTCGATCTACGCAATCCCTAATTTCCGTGAAGGTCCTGGGGGTACTTTTGGGCAATCGGGGGCAATCTGTTGATTGCAATCGAGATCGCGATCGATTGCGATCGATTGCCTTAATCTGATGCAATCGATTGCGACCGATTGCAATCGATAGATTGGGTAAGTTGGCGACTGTGCGCGAACAGTAACCACCAAAACATATTTCGTGGTCGCTCGCTGATACAGAACATCTCGCGACATTCCAACTTTCCAGACTGAACCTCTGGACCAAACAACACAATTTGCGACGTAATGGGGCTACCTTGAAATTGCGCGAAACAGACGGTCGCTTCGTTTCGCCAACTTTGAGAAGGAAGGGACGTACAGCTCGCCTGGAAGGCGTTTCTGAGGTTCCGCCCTGTTTATGATAAAAACATCTGTCAGATTGCGCGGCGCGGGAGGCGATCGATGATTGCGTCAGATCGGGGCAATCACACCCAATCGATTGCGTTCTGATCCAATCGACCACCGATTGCGTGAGATCGGTGCGATCTGCACCACGTCCTTAGGCTGCCTCTGTCTAATCACCTCTAATTGATTGGCTGGAAACAATTAATAATGTTCGATGCTATTTCGGGAAGGATGTTGCCCGCTAAATATGAATTCGCCCTCTTAAGTTAAAGTTGCGGTCTACATACATCTGAGTGTTTTAGGGGGTATTTCTATTGCACACCCTTTGACACACTTTGATTCGCTTGCGAACAGGCTTCCTATCGGAACTGTGCGTGCGACCCAGTCCAAAAAGACTGGCGGAACTACTCAGTTTCGCTCGGGACGATGGGAAGGAAAAACAGAATCAAGCGAAAAGATGGGTTTTTCGTGAGGGGAGGAAGGGCTGGGGGACGAATGTGCGCAAGGGCGGAAGCCGAGGCCAAGATTCGGGCCCTGTTCAACTCCTAACGGAACGGGGACTTGAGGCGCTGGTTCTGTAAATTTCTTCCCAAACCAGACGCGACAAAAATTTGCAACCGCTAAAAGTTCCCTAGTCCCGTTCCGTTGCAGGCGAGACACGTGCTATCGAACAGGGTCTCCATTGGTTTGGGAACCCCCAGTCCCCTCCCTCTTTCCGCCTCGGTTGTTTCTTCACAGACAGGTACTTGGTCACCCGGTTTTCAAGTGATAAACCAACGCCTGTCCCGTGAGGTATGTAGATCGCAGCTCCGATATCGCCTCACACTTGCTCCGTCACGGTCAGCATGCTTTTTCTTTTCTTCCCGCCAACCCCCAAACCCCAGATCAGCCTACTAACCCTTGAACTGTATTCCTGGCGTAACCTTGCACCACTGGTACCTTGTGGGATCACAACATCCCCACAGGGTTTTTCAGAACTCCTACTCTGTATTTCTGTCGAGGATCGAAAGATACTGTTGCTTCTAGAATACACCTCGTCGAGCACCCTGCACGTACATGTTGAACCTAGCTCACAACTTTGACATGGCAGGTCGCCTAAAACACGTCGACTTGAGAGTCGTGGTCCTAAGAGTCCGCGGAGGCATGGCCCCGTATTGGCTAGTGTAGATCTCTCCCTGACACAAAGCCCTGACGAGTGGAGATTTGAGCACAATGTACAGTGGTGATAATGTTGGGTGTTGAGATGAATTGACAATGACATTGGCCTGAGAAAAGACCTAGATCCGTGTCGGTTTCGTCCCGCACGAGGGACCCTCCTGGACAGCAGTAAGGACGCGTTCCCTCCCATGATCGATCGTGCAATATCGAACCTCCACCGGACTGAAAACCCGCTTTATGCATGTCACAACTAGCAGAACCTTCTCTAACCCCGCCAAAAATCGAACCTGCGCTGGTTCGATCGAGGGAGGGAACATGAAGCATAGGTGGAACCTAGCTGAGTGAGGCGAATAAACATTTTCGTATTCCGATATTAGCACCTTCAGCATACATGGAACCTAGCTGCGAGGCGAATAAATATTTTCGCATTCCTATATTAGCTGCAATAACTTCTAAAAAAGAACATTAAACATCACAACAAACATATGCCTACTATTCCCCAATGTACACGCTTAGCGCTTTGTAGGGAAGGTGGCTACATGTGTGACACAAAAGGCCATGCAACGTAATGCCCTTACGACGTTGTTACCACGTTATATCTCAGCCCATGGCGTACCAGCTTCAAACGTGCAGCGCAAGTGTAGCGAGTCATGCAATTGTGGAGCCCATCACCTGAAAAGAACGAGTACAGGCGCAGTGCATTGAGTAGAACCTCTTACTGTTATCTTTAGGAAACAAATTGCCTTCGAACACATGGGGCTGCGGACATGAAGAGAGGCACGGCAATCAACATATCAGCAAGAGACACACCCTTGGAACAAGAAGCTGGGTGGTGTTGATAAGTTGATGAGATGGTGAGATGACTGGTAGAGAGACAGGGATGGTTATGGCTGACCCCCTCAGCAGGCTACTCGCCAAGCACCCATGAAAGCAAGCACCCAAATAGCACCAGGCTACCAAGCACCTCCTCATCCCTAACAGCCTCTCCCTCAATTTACCCCTCCTCTTCCTCACCCCTACCTCTCACTTCTCCCACCCGTCCTCACCCCTCGTCCTCACTCCTCTTCACTCCTTCCCACCCCTCTCCCCACCCCTCCTACTCACCTCATCCAAATCATCCAGTATCGGTGGTGCATCCATCACATCTAAGAACATTTCCCACACCTCGCCTAACTCCTCCCCACCCCTCCTGACCGCTCTCACTCACATCATCTCATCCACATAATTCAACACTGAGAGCGCACGCATGAAATCTAAGAACCACCTTTCAGAAGGCCATGCATGCTGTCGAAGTCCTCACCTCATCCAGATCATCCATTATCGGCGGTGCATCCATCACATCTAAGAACATGACCCATCTCCTAGCTCCTCCTCACCCGCCCTCCCCACCCCATCGGACTCACCTCATCCAAATCATCCAGTATAGGAGGTGCATCCATCACATCTAAGAACATTGCCCACTCCTCGCCTAACTCCTCCTCTCCTCCCATTCCAATCCCTGTCCCCATCAACCCGTCCACGTCACCCGGAGCAGCCATTTGGAAGTCACTGCCCCCTCCACCCTCTATAAGCACATCTAGTCCGCCCTGTACACATGAAAAGTCTCCTGTGCCTAGTAAACCAGGGGAAAACACAGGCCCTGTTTCTGTTCCTACTGTTCCTGCTGCTGCTGTTGTTGCATTTAGTTCCGCTTCTAGTTCTCCTATTGCTGCTGCTGTTGCCATTCCGCCACCTGCTGCTGCTTGTGCTTCTGATGCTGCTGATCCTCCTCCTCCTCCTGCTGATGCTGCTGCAACTCCTCCTGCTTCATAAATATTTGGATGCTGCATCAAGCCCTCTCCGACTCTCCAACCTGCACCGCCAGGCTCGGCACCGACTCTCCCTCTCTCGTCCCAACCTGCATATCCAGGTTCGGAAGCACTGCGCCCCATAGGCTCGGGATAGCCAAACCCGACGCCCAGTGGTTCGGTGGAACTTTGACCATCACAATCCAGTCGCTCGGATAAGGAAGCTTCTGCCACGTGTGCCCGCACTTCCACCTCTGCCTGTGCATGTGCGTGTGCTCCTAACGGCGTGTTTGCCGGCCTGTTCTGTTCCAGCAGCAGTTGAGAGAGAAGGTCAGCCCGGGCTGCAGGCGTAAGGCTTGCGACCAGGGACTGAGCAGTAGCATCGGGAGTTTGCTTGCGGGATACCAAATAACTTAGAACAAGGTCCTGTTGCTGCTGCTCTTCCACGGATAGATGTTCATACTCTTGATGATGCTGCTGTTGCTGCTGCTGCTGCTGCTGCTGCTGCTGCTGCTGCTGCTGCTGCTGCTGCTGCTGCTGCTGCTGCTGCTGCTGCTGCTGCTGCTGCTGCTGCTGCTGCTGCTGCTGCTGCTGCTGCTGCTGCTGCTGCTGCTGCTGCTGCTGCTGCTGCTGCTGCTGCATCGGCTGCCTGCCTAGTGGACTGGCAGCAATTCTGTCCCCCACAACCCCACCACCACCACCACCACCAGCAACAGGAGGCGGCGGGGGCCGGGGAAGATTACCAGGCAGAGAGGCGGATTTGGGGAAGAAACGGGAGGCGGGGCGGGGGAGAGGAGCTGATGGGAGGGCGCGGGAGTGTGAGGGGGGCAGGGGGGGCGCGGGCCCATGGGTGGGGGGAAGCGGGGGTGCATGTGCGGATGCATGTGGGGGTGAGGCAGAGGAGGGGGACGCGGACGGAGGGGAGACAGAAGAGTGCAGGGAGTGGAGTGTGCGCGAGGGCTGGGAGTGTGAGGTTGACTTGACTATGCCCATCCGTGGGCTTCCACACATGCCTCCCCTCTGCTGCTGCTGCTGCTGCTGCTGCCCCTGTGTTTGCTGGAGCGCCTGCTGCGCCTGCTGCTGCTGCTGCTGCTGCTGTTGATGCTGCTGCTGTTTCTGTAGCAGCAGGTTCTCGAGCAGCAGTGCAGCAGCAGCAGGGTCTCCGTTGCAGCGGTGCAGCAGCATCTGCAGAGTGGCGTTCTCTGCCACCCTCAACGCATTACCAACAGCACCACCACCACTGCTGGCACCAGCAGCACCACCAGCACCATCCGCAGTAGCAGCAGCACCACCACCCCTTCCTCGTTCCCCCATCCCGTCTGCACTAACACCCATTTCTTCCGCCATACCCATCCCCCCCATCCCACCAATCCCATCAATTCCACCTGCACCATCCACGATATCCATACCTCCCCACCTCTCTCCACCCATCAATGCACCACCCTGATCCTCCCCGTTCCCTCCTCCTCCCAAGCCCATGCCTGCCTCCATGCCCTCACCAGTCCCCATATTCACGCCCATCCCCATATCTACATCCAAGCACGCGTTCCCATCAGCCAAGCCGCACGCGTCAAGAGCAGCAGCGTATGCATTAGCCGTGAGACAAGTGCCATCATTTGCAATAGCATTGCCATCAGCAGTCGAGGCGCTACCATGCATCATTATCATCTCCTGCAGTAGCCATTCCATCTCATCCACCCTCCCCCCTTCCCCTCCCACTCCTACACCCCCTTCCGAGCCCCCTCCATCTCCCCACCCATCTCCACGTCCCTCCCCTCCCCTCTCTCCTTCAACCCCTCCCTGGTTCGATTGCATTGCTGCATCCCCTGTTAGCGTCTCCCCTGCCCCTGCAGTTGCTCCCCCTCCTTCCATCCCTGCTCCTGCCAACCTTGTTCCCCCTATCCCCCCTCCCATCCCCCCTCCCATGCCCCCTCCCATCCCCCCTCCCATCCCCCCTCCCACTCCCCCTCCTGCCATCTCCCTCCCCCGCCCCGCGCCCACCCCTCTCGGAGACCCACCAAACGGGCACAGATTCAGAAACTCAGAAAGAAACTCAGGATTCGAGAGGCTCGACACATGCCGGCTCGTGAACCCCCCATGCCTCCCGCCCCCCATGCTTCCCCCCATGCCGCCCCCCGCTGAGCTAGCAGTCGGGGACGCCACCCTATGCAGCGCCCTGGCAGCAGAAGTGGTATTGGCAGAAGAGGAGGGGGAGGAGGAGGGCGACGTGGAGAAGGAGTGGCGGCGCATGTGGGCAGCAGCATGGGCAGCAGCAGCTCGGGTCATGCCCTGGATGGGACTCGTGCAGCTGAGGCTGCGTTTAAATAGAGGACTTGACACCATTCTGCTTAGAGCAGCCGACGGATGGCTGTAACCAGACCCACCCACACCCCCTCCTCCCGCTCCTGCCCCCCCTCCCCCGGCGCCTCCCCCGCCCACTCCCCCATCCCCCCCTCCGCCTCCGCCCAGCGTCCCCCCCAGGCGGAATCCGCCCCCCAGGAGGGCGCGGGAGGGGGAGAGCTGGCGGGCGAGGGCGGCGCGATCGGCGGAGGAGAAGGTGTGGCGGCGCTGCTGGGCCAGAGACCTTGACCGGCGGTGGGAGGGGGGCTTGTCTGCTGATACCGTCGCATGCACTCCCGTGTGTTGCTGGTGGTGGTGCTGCTGCTGATGCTGCTGCTGCTGCTGCTGACTGTTGCCTATGTGGTTGGTGTTACTAATGTGGTTACCAGCGCTGAATGGAGCGGTGTGTGCGTTGGGTGCTGCTACGGACGGGGAGCCTGGGGAGGCGGCATGAGGCGGGGACGTGGCGATGAGGGTGAGTCCGGGCGGCAGCAGCTGTCCTGTTGTGGGGAAGGTGCGGGAGTGGTCTAGGGTGACACAGAGAGCGTCGAATTCAGCCAGGTCTGCAGGTGAGGCTGTGGGGTGGAGAGGAGGGGTTGCGGCTGCTGCAGCACCATTGGCAGTAGCAACAGCAGCACTAGCAGCAGCGGCAGCAGCGGCATTACCAGCAGCAGTGGCAGTGAGAGCAGGGTCATTGAGCTGCTGCGCAGAAGGCAAGTCAGGTGGGGACAAACGAGGGCGGGTGGGAGCAAGGGGGGGAAGAGTGACAGGCGAGCAAGGCTTGGGACTCATCTCAGGTGAATCTGCTGCTAGTGCCCCCGTTGCAACCCCTGTTAGTACACGTGTAGGCGCCGCTGCTGTCCCCCTTGCAGCTCCTCTTTCTGCTGCTCCGGCTGCTCCGGCTGCTCCTCCTGCACCTGCTCCTGCATCTGCTCCTAGCCCTGCCCCATCTGCCCCTCCGGAACCATAACCACCAACACCACCACCACCACCAGTAGCACCACTGGCAGCACCTCCTTCCGCTGCGTCCCCTTCCCCTCCACACACCGACATATCCGTCCCCCCTGGTCCCGACGACAGCTCATACACCTCCTGCCCTGCCCCTCCCTCACACCCACCTCTCCCTCTCTCCGTACCCCACACACCCCCCCCTCCATCATTACTATCCCCCGCATTCTCCCCTGGCCGCCACTCCCCTGTGCCCTCCTCAGCAGCCTCATCATCACCACCGCCACACACATCCCTCCCTCTCTCCCCCATGGCCTTACCCGCTAACCCTAGTCCCCCCTCACTTGGCCCACCTGGCCCACTTCGCCCACTCGTCCCACTCGCACCTATCCCGTTCCCCGCTTCCCAATTCTCCCTCTGCAAAGCACCTGCCGAGGAACCGAATCCGCCTCCCCCGGCTAAGCCTGCCCCAGTTCCGCCCTCCCTTGGCCTTCCCTGCTGCGGCCCATTTGTAGCAGCAGCAGGAGCGGCTCCAGGAGCAGCAGCAACAGCACCACCCGCAGCATCCTGCCTACGCCCCTCGCCCCACTTCGCCGTCCGCCCCTGCTGCTGAAAGTGCTGCAGCTGCTGAAGGCGTTGCTGCTGTTGCTGCAGCAGCAGCTGCTGCTGCTCCTGCTTCTGCTGATGCTGCTGCTGAAGGTGCTGTTGCTGTTGATGCGACGGCTGCAAGCCAGGTATACACTCTCGCCTCTCTACTCTCATCCCGCCTTGCCCCCCTCTTGGGGTTTCCCGTGTGTCAGGTGTTTTTCCAGATAGCAGCGCAAGCTGGGCCAAGAGCTGAGACGCCTGGGAAGCTGTAAGATTTTCTCCAGAGCTACCCAGAAGCTTTTTCAAGAGCATGAGGTCTTCTGGTGAGACGTTTGCTGACTTAGCTGCGCTCGGCTGTGATTGGCTGGGAGCAATTGGGCGGCCGGGGTTAGAGGAGGTGGTATTTGGGGAAGGTGTGGATTGGTTTGGAAGGAGGGAGTGGTTCGGAAGGGCAGCTTGCAGGTTCGGAATGGGGGTGACTCGGGGGGGCTTCCGAAGCTCGTCGAACTTGGTTCGGAGCTTTGCAATCATCTCATTGGTGGGCTTGATCTGCAAACCGAGAGGTGAAGTGGCAAGCGGGGACGGGAAGGGAAGGGAAGGGAGAGGGGGAGGGGGAGAAAAGGGGGAGGGGGGGGATGAAGGAGAGAATGGGGCAGAGAAACGGGGAGGGAATGGGGGAGGAAATGGGAGAGGTGAATGAGAATGAACCAGGAGAGAAACCATGGGGGGCAGTGGATGGGCGGAGTGTGAAGCGGGGGAGTGGTTGATATGGACGGAAAGTGAATGCAAAGATACCACAAACTGGAACAAAGGAAACGTACCGGCGTGCAGGCAGCAATTTGAAGAACGCCCTGGGGTACACCGATCAACGCTATGACCTGCATGGCGTGGAGAAGAGAGGAGTGGAGAGGAGTGGAGAGGAGTGAAATGGAGTGAAGTGGAGTGGAATGGAGAGGAGTGGAGTGGAGTGGAGGGGAGGGGAGGGGAGTGGAGTGGAGAGGAGTAGAGAGGAGTGGAGAGGAGTAGAGAGGAGTGGAGAGGAGTGGAGAGGAGTGAAATGGAGTGAAGTGGGGGAGAGGAATGGAGTGGAGAGGAGTGGAGTGGAGTGGAGTGGAGTGGTGTGGAGTGGAGTGGAGGGGAGGCGAGTGGAGTGGAGTGGAGTGGAGTAGAGTGGAGTGGAGTGGAGTGGAGTGGAGTAGAGTGGAGTGGAGTGGAGTAGAGTGGAGTGGAGAAGAGTGGAGTGGAGTGGTGTGGAGTGGAGTGGAGTGGAGTGGAGTAGAGTGGAGTGGAGTGGAGTAGAGTGGAGTGGAGTGGAGTAGAGTGGAGTGGAGTGGAGTAGAGTGGAGTGGAGTGGAGTGGAGTAGAGTGGAGTGGAGTGGAGTGGAGTCGGGTGGATTGGATTGAAGTGGTTGGGGGGTTGGCGGAATTTCCAGAGGATATATGAGGGTATGCAGAAGGAGGAGGAGGGGATGGATCTGGAGAGAGAATCAAACTTGCAACAGATGAAATCAGAACGGAGATGGGAATGGATGGGATCATGGGTGTGTGAGTTGGAACGGAGAGAAGTGGTCGAGCCTGGGAAGCAGAGCAGGTGGCTCTCACCTTGACCCCTGCAGCGAACTGCCTGTCCCATTCCTCTGGCTGCTCCTCGTCCTTGCTGCCATCCTGCTCCACCATGGTATGGCGTGGTATGGCACAGAATGACGTTCATGGCATGGTGTGGCATGTTATGGCAGGGTTTGGCATGGTGTGGTGTGACATCGCATGGCATGGCATGGCATGGCATGGCTTGGCATGGCATGGCTTGGCATAGCATGGCAGAGCGTGTTAACACAGTACGTAAATGTGAGCTGTGGTTAAGAGATGATGACAGGCAATGCATAAGTAAAAAAACCTAACGGGTTCTACACGCAAAGCTTCATTCCATCAGGTTCATTTAAGAAGCATGCCTGAGCGGTGCAGGCGCCCCAAACCTCTAAATGTTATCACAAAAACCTGATGCTTACAACACGCCTCCACCCTCACCAGGTGCAGACGCCCACGCCCACGCCCACGCCCACGCCTCTAAGTGTTCACTGGAATAAACTAACGCTCACATCACAGCCCGCCGCCAGTCTCACCAGGTGCAGGCGCCCCACGCCTCTGATGCCGCGGGACTTGACTGGCTCACACAGCAGCCGGTACCCCCCTGTCATCGCCACCCTGCCCAGCAGCCTGCACACAGGCGGGAGGCATTGGAAGCGGGATATGGGAACGGATGGGCAATGAGCGGAATAACGGAGCGGAGGGGCAGCAGAGGGTGTCAAGGCACAGCACCGCCGGTAACCGTAACCCCCTGTCATCGCCACCCTGCCCAGCAGCCTACCGGCAGACGGGCATGGGGATAACGTGGAGAGGCATCAGAATGGAGGCATCGCACAGGGCATCAGCCGTGGGCATGGGTAGCGGCACACCCACCCTCCCTTCCTCCGTCCCTCCGTCCCTCCGTCCCTCCATCCCTTCATCCCCCCATCCCTCCCTACCTACCTCCATACCTCCCTCCCTCCCTCTTTCCCTCCCTCACTCACTCACCCGGTGTGGCACGGGTAGCGGTGAGAGCGCATGGCGGTGAATTCCTCCTGCAGCGCCAGCATGCGTGCCACGTCAGCCTCCGTCAACGACGCGCCGCTCCCCTGCTTCTGGTCGAACACGTTCGTTAGCAGAAAGTAGCCGCCCTCCCACGCTAGTGCAGCTCTGCATGGGGGAGTTGGGGGAGTGGGGCGCGGGAAGGGGGAGGGGGGAGCAGGAAGGAGGAGGGGGGAGGGGGTAGGGGGGAAGGCGGAGAGGGGAGAGGGGAACGGGGAGAGGTGAGAGAGGAGGAGAAATAGGGGGGAGTCGTGATGGCGATAGCGGGTGGCAATTGAGTCCAGACATCCACAGCAGCCCTCCCACGCCCGCGCAACTGGGATGGGGAAAAGAGGGTGGCGGTTATGGGCAACGATTGAGTCAGCACACCGCACACGAGTAGCCGTTTTTCATGCTAGTGCACGCATGGGGTGGCCCAAGGGGACAATAGCAGGGAAAACAAGACATCGCGACGAAGACAAGCGTAAAAAAATCATGAGGCGTGTGTGAGGAGATAGGCTTGCAAGCCTGTTTGCGGCAGAGATTCCAGCGAATGCGCATGGCGCAGGAGAGATTTCGAAAGCAGTACGCGCGGGAGAAGGCGCTATGGCGAGAGAGAAACTGATGTCGACCCAGTCAGGTCGACCCATTCAACCCGTCGATATTAGTGATCATGCAAACGACGACGGACACGTAAGCGAGCAGATATTGCAAAACACTAGTTCCAAGAGAAGCGCTAAACGCTAGTATCGTGAAGAAATTGCAATGGAAATGAACATGAACTATGTTTGGAGTTAATCGGGAGCAGCACTGGAGGAGCCAGTTCTGCGAGCTAACGCTGGACGGTACCCCACTACTCAGAGTGAACTATCTATTGCTAGCTATGTCCTGGCAGCTGGTAACATGCCAGGTGTAACGACAACACCTCAAAAAAGGCGACGGTAGCGCGATGTCGAAACCCTACTGCATCGTCGAAAGACAGCTTCTTGCAAAGCGATAACAGAAATTCGTTGCCTGAGCTCTGGCTACCGCGACGGCGATCCTAACAGAATCGAGAAACCCTAAAATTTGAAGCGACACTGAGAGGAGTAGATTCGGCGGCTGAAACGAATGTCGAAGGGATGGGTAATAAGCCATATTGCCAGGACCGGAACGCCTGTCATGAGTGGAGTCCGTGAAGGAGAGAGCGACACTAAAAAGCTGGGCGGCATTACACTTGTGACGTGCAGTGCAGCTCGGGAGCGCGCCAAAACACCGCGTACGTCCACCCGCCTTTGTCGCACAATGTGCTCAACAGAGTCTGCAGACGAGTGTCGGCCATCCTGCTCCCCTGGATGATACCCGGACAACGAGGATTTCCCAGGAATGGCTCGCGTGCTTTGTATAAGTTAGTGACCTGAGCTCAGATATTGTTTCGCGGATGTTACCAGCTGATGTATCGTCTGAATGCGAAGGCCAGATGGTTCCTCGAACAAGTGTTTCCTAGATACTGATTTAGGGTCCAGTCTAGCACGCTGATTGCCATCCACTCAATGCTCGGAACGTTAGACAGGTCAACGTGAAACGGATTGTTCTAGGAGGAGCAGCAGCGCGGAGATGGCGGTGTAGGCGAAAGCAAGCTGAGAAGCGAAGCTGCCATGGATGCTGCAGATGGAGAACCCGAGGGCGACAGGGAAGGGGAAACACAAATGATCCTATCACAGCGTTGTCTGGCTGACACAAATGTCGTGCCCGCGTGTCATCAAAGCCACAGAATAGTGTAACGGGTCAGCGATTACCGAACAGGTTCAGGGAAGTGGAGTTGTTGACAATCTCGAGAGTTTTGCGAGCTCGCGGCAACCCGCATCCGCAAGGTGCTCTTTTTGATACGTTGTGCCAAGGGTCCTGAAATGACTTCGCAGCCGATACACATCGCAGTGAGAGACACACCCTGGAACTCCCATTTCACGGGTGGTTGTTGAGTGCTTCGGGTTGACGGTCACCCTAAAATTCTCACGAGCCTATCTGAACCTGTACTGTACACGTAGAGATTCGAGCTATAGCACACATCAGACGCATCTTTCCTGCATAAAGCTCACGCAAGTTTCGAAGGTGCCCGGATGGGGCAGAAATGATAAGTTGCGATAATCTCGCTATTGTCACAGATCGTCATTCTCAGCTTGCTTCACTATTTGCTTGAACGAGAGCAGCCCCAGAGATTTTTGCAGAGTCAAGATGGGCGGTCCTGCAACAAGTCCTTCAGATGCCCAGAATCTTCTTCTCTGATTGGTTGGATCTCTCTTATATCTGCTTCGCTCTGGATGTCCTCCTTTCGGGTTCGGAATGCTCCGACAGTTCCACCAACAAGCATAATCCTATATGATATATACTTATCTTGATATATTGTCACCCGTAAAACATACATGAAACAGGAATGGCCCGTGAGCTGTTCGTTCAGGCTGGTCCGCACCTCACCCATTCGGAATGAAGCTGGTTCGAGTCTGGTTTGGTCTGCCTAACTGGCTCGACCCCGATTGCCCAACTGCCTTTTACTGTGTAGTAGCAGCAACCAGACCAACCATAGTCCAGATTCTTCGCTCCGCAAGTCGTGACCGACACGTCCCCATCACGCCATTCTAAGTCCGTAAGTACAACTTCGTCGCTTCCTCGCAACCGCGTTTCTGATCCTTGTAGAAGATACACAGGAGCGAGTATATAAATATGCAGTTGGTAAGCAACAGTTCAACAGTTCATTTATCACCTTCAAACGCAGCGTACTTGAACCTACTTGAAGCATCCAGCGAATATATAGTAACCTACTTGTAGCATCCAGTGTACTTTTTTATATTATTTTCCTTCTGTTGTTTTTTTCGAAAATCAGTTTGCCCTCGTATTCCATGGGGAATCAACGCCTCATCTTGCTTCCGCTGGTTCTCTTCCTCATCCTCGGGACTTGCACGGCTCACCCTGCGGCATCTCCCCGTGGACAGGTAGCCAGCGGCAAAACCAGCCCGCCATCTGCGGTGAACGATGCAGTCTCCTGGAAGGCCTCTGGTCGTGCGCTTGGGTGGGCTAGTGAGGCGCCTAAAGGCAATTCCATGGCCAGGACGACGGTGCCTACGACCCTAGTAGCCTCTCAAGGGAACCAACAAGCTGTTGGGATGAACCAGCGCCGCGCTGCAGCGAATGCAAATCGCCATGGTGGCTCCAACGGTCATCTTCGCGGCATGCCCAAACAGCATTTTGGCACGAATCATCGTTCTGGCCCACCAGAACATCCCCTTAGCACGGGGAACAGCAGGCCGGCGGCAGGCCACGTCAGCGCCAGTGGCACCTTCCGCGGAAGCGGCAGCAGCGACGTGGCGATTCGTTATCACGATTTTTCCCCGCGCAACAGAAATGGCAGGTCGACGAGTAGCATGAAGCATGGCTTGAACCACGGATTGACCCATGGAACAGATTCCGGCGTGAATCCTACCAACCACCACTTCGGGACTGGCCAATTCCAGCCAAGCAGTATGCCTGCTACTGCTCGCTCCACAACTGCAGACTATGGTGACGATAACAGCGGGGATGGCAGTGGTGGTGATGGTGATTACAATGGTGACAATGGTGATTACAATGGTGACAATGGCGATTCCAATGGTGACAATGGTGACTTTGGAGTGTCCATGTATGGGCTGGGTTCCAGGTTCACCTCGTTCCCCCTCCTAATCCTTCTCCCAAACTGTCTGGAATGGAACGTGGATTACCCCCAAAGGTGACTGTAACAGGCGAGCTTGGGATGGACCTACCCGCACAGGTGACTGTTACAGGGCGTTGACCTTGATACAATCTGAACCGTCTTATGAGGTCGTCTCAGGTTGATCGCACGGAGTGTAGCAGCGGAAGATAGCTAGGTAATGTCGGGTACGGACTCTGTCAGTAGAAGGAGAATTGAATCTCGACAGAAGTGACTATAACAATGCGGTACAGGGGTTTATATAGGAATACAGTGGAATACGAAAGGTCCTAGCTAGCCATGTACTCTGAGGGGGTACATTCCCATTAGGGCTAATCTAGATGCAGCATCGCAACCGTGCGGTTCGGTAACCGTACGCGGTCCGGTAACCGTTTGAACAGTTCCCGCGCTTTGCACTTCAATTTCTTTCTGCTTGTAACTGTCTCGATAACTGTCTTGATGCTTGGTCTTTCGTCCTCGCTGCAGTAATCTTCGCGTTAAGGATTTGTTACTCAGGAATGTTTATTCAACTATTCCATATCGTAACAGACCTACCTACAGTAATTGGCCTGTGAGATGATGCGATGCTGATTGTTTGGCCTTGTTCTCGCCGTTGTAGCACCAGACTGGATTCATGTTTTGTGTCATCATTCTTTTCCCCATTCCCCTCCTTCCCCCCCACTTTTAAAACCCTGCTACCTTCCCCTCTGTTACAATCCCAAGTGGGACTTAGCGAAGGATCGCTCAGGCTTGATCGCAGAGTAGTGTTGCAGCGGAAGATTTGAATCTCAGGTCAGAGTGAATGTAAATGACTGAGTTGATAAAAGCATGCATACATCGAGTTTATATAAGAGTACAAGGGAATACGAAAAGTCCTAGACTAGCCATGTACTCTAAGGGGTACATTCCCTTATTACAACCGAATTCAAACCGTGCGGCGCGGGAACCCGTTTCAAACCTGTTCCCGCCTTTTTCACTTCAAATGTTTCTGCCTGCATCGGTCTTGGTCAGACAGTTGCTGTGTCGCTTCGACTCTTCTGACTCCTCGTCTTCGTACTCGGTAGAGTCGGCTCCTGCAGCATACAGGAATGCCTTCTCATAAAACTTCATATCGTAACACCCACTCTCTTCCCCTTTTTTCCCATTCCCCCATGCCCCTCTTCCCCTGTCCCCTTTTCCTCACCTGCGTGGTATGCTCCTGCTTTTTGAGACGACGCAAAAAGTCTGCGTGGTATGTTGCTGCTGCTCTGGATGATTGTCGACTGCACGCGAGCCAACAAGTACTTTTTTTGTCTCGTAGCTGGCCCTGCAGGTAGCCGCCCAATGCCCAAGGCTAAAGGAGCGAACGGGGAGAGTGAAAGTGAGGATGATAAGGGGGGCGATGAGAGTGATGGGGAAGGGAGGACTGTGGGTTATGAGCAGCGGCAGAGGCAACGACATGGGAACAAGCAGAAGCTGAATGAGAAAGGGCCTAAGGGAAGGAATTGGGTGCTGAAGAAATAGGAGCATCGGCGGCAGCAAGAAGACATGGGTGTTTCCAGAGACATCAAATACGCTGCGCGGAATGAAAGTTGCGGTTTTGATTTGTTGGTTTGGTGTTACAGTGTGCTACTCCAAAAAATGTATGGCAGCTTTTTGTGATCTTTATTTTACTACGTCAACCGAGGCGGTAACGAACCGCACAGACAATAACGAATTCCAACAACAAGCCAAAAGGCAAACGATGGAACGCGCTGGACTCCACGTAAGCTGAGCGTGGACCCTGGCATGCGTGGAATGGCCCTTGCATGACGTGCCCTTGCGAGGGCATCCAGGGCGGTGCGATATCCAGCTCTGTCAGAAGTTTCGGCGTGCTGGTGGCTGGGACCACTAGAGCCCAGTTCCACATCACCTTGCGGGCTGGCGATCCCTACGATTGCGATTTTCCGTCGCCTTCTGTTTAGTTCCGTCAGATCCTCTCCTCTCACCTCCTGGCAGCTCAAACGGCAAGGCCGACACTCAAATCAGTCAATGCGTGAAAAAGCATCAGTTCTATATTTCACCTCGCATAATCGGCTCAATCACTCACTTTCAGTGAGCTTTTCCGTGCTGTCAGTGAAGCCACTAACGTCAGGTTTCCAATTTCAACAGCGTTTCGAGCCTGTTCTAGGCTCGATCTCTGCCGCCCTCGCTGCAAGCTTTGTTCATCCTGATCACCGTGACAAGAAGCTGCTGCATTTGATTAACTAGGCTTCTGATTCGCAATCGCGTGAACATATGGCTTCGGAATCGCGTGATTTCGCTGCCAGTCGGCTGTCCGTCCTAGCCGGTCACTTGTCGCTATCCGACGTTCGACAGGACGGCCAATGGCTTCGCGTGAATCCCACGTCAGCGGAAGTCAGGCCCGCACCTGGCGGTGGTCCCGGCGTGCTTCACGTCGTCGACGGTCGTACCGGGAAGAAGTACGAGCTCGAGATTAACGAGGACGGCGCCATTCGCTCCAGCGATTTCAAAAAGGTCAGTCTTCTCGTTTCGCGTCGCGACACGCATGTCTACGCAACCTCCGATTTTTACGCCTCCTTATACCATGATTTGGCTAATTTGCAGTACATTTCTTTTTTGTGCGGCAGATCAAGGCGGGGGGAGACGGCAACGGTCTGAAGTTGTACGATCCGGGTTATCTTAACACCGCACCTGTGCGGTCGGCCATCTGCTACATTGATGGCGACAAGGGTATTCTGCGATATCGCGGTTACCCGATTGAGGAGCTTGCGGAGCGAAGCACACACCTTGAGACGGCCTACCTACTAAGTAAGTCGACGCTCAATACCAGTCTTGTAACCCTAGTGTTACATTTCTCTTCTGCACTTGTAGTGGGATTCAGAACACTAACGTTATGGTGTACATTGGCAGTGTACGGCAGTCTGCCGAACCAGGAGCAGCTGTCGGACTGGGAGGGGACCATCATGCAGCACTCCGCGCTCCCTGACGGCGTTCTGGTGCGTTGACGGAATTTGTCAATTTTGTAATAGGAACAAACCTTTTATTCGCAAACCAACCAGTCACCTTTATTTACGAAATCAACAGCCACCGTTTTCTTGTTGGAACGAATAACAAATTGCTTGAATATTTTTATGACGCCAAGTCATTTCCTGACTGACCAACCATATTGCTGAAATCCCGTGAGTCATACTTTTCTGCACTGAATACTACCCTTCTGTACCCCTCCTGTCCCTACTCCCCTCGTGCTCCTTTATGTCCATCTGTCCTGCCTCCCTGCGCTCTTCCGCCCCCCTGCGCCTCTCATGCTCCCCTGTGTGCGTCCGTGCGTCGTGCCAGGCGGTGATCGCGGCTCTGCCTCGGGACAGCCACCCCATGGGTGTGCTCACAGGGGCGCTCTGCGCGCTCTCCTCCTTCCACGCCGATGCCAACCCTGCTCTCCAGGTGCCTTGACGCGCTTGTGCTCGTTCTGCAAACAAGATAATGAATTTCTTGAACCATTCCCCGTTTACTACGCCATAATTCATGCAAGGATAAGGTTCGGCCGTTGCACTCGCGTCCAGTCTTCCAACTCACAAAGTCAACTCTATTTACACAGAGGTTGCAGTCGAGTAAACTCAAGAGCCGCCATTCATGTCCGAACGTGGCACATCCTGGCGTTGTGGCGTGTCCCTGTGCAGGGCCAAGACCTGTACAAGTCCAAGGCCGTTCGCAACAAGCAGATCGTGCGAGTTCTCGGCAAGGTACGGCTAGCAGCTACACTGCATTCCGCACCAGGTGCCCACCATCACTAAAGCCGCAGCTGCATACCTGCACATGACAGGGACCGCATATGTGTGGTGTGTGTAAGGTGCCTCACAGCGCGATCCAACCAGCTGCACAGTATTTCTTGTATGTCCCGTTCTCCTCCTGCCTTGGCCCACCACGTGCCCACCCTAGCAGCAGCAGCATACCTACCCCTGGCGGGGCGGCCGGGCCTCCTGTGTGCTGTCTGTAAGGCGCCTAGTCTCGTCACACGTTTCAACCGAATGATCTGTAATTGCCGTGCCCTGTTTTCTCCTATCTCCGCCCAACAGGTGCCCACCATAGCAGCAGCAGCGTACCTGCACATGGCGGGGCGGCCTCCTGTGGCGCCTGCAGGCCACCTGTCGTATGCTGAGAACTTCCTCTACATGCTCGACTCCATGTGAGTCTCTCTACGTGCTCCACACCATGTGACCGCACTTCGCTATTGCAACCTGTATAAGAAGCTCTTCACTTGTTTTTCACTCACCTCAAGAGCCATTCTACCAGTAAACCATTGTGGAAGTTCTCCATAACTCCGTTTCCTGCAAGTGTTGGTCGGTCCGTGTCCGCGTGCTGTGTGCTGTGTGCTGTGTGCTTGACTTGTGCGCTCCATCTCTCTGCTGCCTGCACCAGGGGCGACCGCTCATACCGGCCGCACCCACGGCTGGCGAGGGCGGTGGACATTCTCTTCATCCTGCACGCGGAGCACGAGATGAACTGCTCCACTGCCGCCGCTCGCCACCTCGCCTCCAGGTGCCACCCACCCTTGCCTGCTTGCACCCCTTTCCTCCATGTGCACCGATTGCTTGCTTGCTTCTCTCGGCTCTTCCCATCCCCACCTGCCTTTTGCCCTCTCTCATTGACTTGCCCTCATCCCTCCTCCTGACTTTTGGATTGGTTGAGAAAGCGTTATTCTTGCTATTTCCCTCCCCCTTCTTCTTCGTGCTCCTTTCCAGCAGTGGAGTGGATGTCTTCACGGCATTGGCAAGAGCCAACCCCCCCCCCACCCCCCCCCCCCCCCCTCCCCCCCCTCCCCTCCCCTCCTTCCCTGCAGTGGAGTGGATGTGTACACGGCGTTGGCAGGTGCTACTGGTGCTTTGTATGGCCCGCTGCATGGTGGGGCCAATGAGGTGAGTTCCACTCACTGTATGCTAGAAAACAACACGTTCTTGCACTCACCACGCTTACCACAGCGTACCTTTTTTCACCAATGTTTTTCAACCCCTCATCCTCCCCTCCATCCAACAATTTTCCCTCAGTTTTACTCATTTCCTCTACCGTTTCTGTTGGAAAATCAACCGCATTTTATCACTGCAGGCGGTGCTGAAGATGCTGAGCGAGATTGGCAGTGCGGACAAGATCCCCGAGTTCATCCAGGGCGTCAAGGACCGCAAGCGCCGCATGTCGGGGTTTGGGCACCGCGTGTACAAGAACTATGACCCGCGCGCCAAGGTCATCCGCGGGCTGGCCGAGGAGGTGTTCTCCATTGTGGGGCGGGACCCGCTCATTGAGGTGCGCCGGGAGGGGCCGTGGGTGTCTGTGATAGGGGAGAGCTGAGGATTGTCCTGTATTGCATGTCGTTGTTTGGGGTTTGGGCACCGCGTGTACAAGAACTACGACCCGCGCGCCAACGTCATCCGTGGGCTGGCCGAGGAGGTGTTCTTCATCGTGGGACGCGACCCGCTCATTGAGGTGCGTACCTTTCTTCTCCTGTGATCTCTATGCAAGCTTTTTTCCTATGCCAACTTCTCCTCTCCTTGAATTCCACTTCCGGGTTGAACTCTCGAAGCTCTCAGCTCCACGGCTCCCCAGACTGGTATCCTCAGACCTCCTTGGGCCCGTCATGAGTAGCTCCCTACTGGGCTGACCCGTGCAGCTCCCTGGTTCCTTCGCTTGACACCGTGTGTGCTGTGCGCTGCACTGTGTGTGACCCTGGCAGGTGGCAGTGGCGTTGGAGCAGGCAGCCCTGTCGGACGAGTATTTCATTAATCGTCCGGGCTTGAAGTGTCTGTACATACGAGCAGTGCCCTGACACCATGTGTGTGTGTGCGCTGCACTGTGTGTGACCCTGCACTGCATGTGCCCCGGGCAGGTGGCAGTGGCGCTGGAGCAGGCAGCGCTGTCGGACGAGTACTTCATCAAGCGCAAGCTCTACCCCAACGTGGACTTCTACTCCGGCCTCATCTACCGGTCAGTCCCGCCCTGCCAGATACGGCCTGCCACTCACGCCGTGCATGTCGTGCCGTGCCAGTCACACCATGATTGTGCTGTGCCATTACATCAGGGTGCCTTGAACCCTAGTACAGTATTTCATCAAGCGAAAGCTCTACCCCAACGTTGACTTCTACTCCGGCCTCATTTGCCCGTCAGTCATGCCATGCCACCCGTGTGCCATGTCAGTTGTGCTCTACTGGTCCACTCATGTCCTTTCATGTCCTTTCATGTGCTTCACCACGCCAACCAAGCCCCATCCCCTCCTTCCCCTCTCGTCCTCACCACCGTCCTCCCTGCAGTGCGCTGGGCTTCCCCACGGAGTTCTTCCCGGTGCTCTTTGCCATCCCGCGCATGGTGGGGTACCTGGCGCACTGGAAGGAGTCTCTCGATGACCCCGACACCCGCATCATGCGCCCCCAGGAGGTGCGTTGTTACAGGCGTCCTGCCCTCTCATGAGGCACCATGCACGCAAGGCAGGTATGCTGTTTGCCATCCCACGCCTGGTGGGCTACAGGCATCATGCGCCCCCAGGAGGCGTCATGCCCTCTCAGGAGGTATCCTGCCCTCTCGGGAGGTATCATGCGGCCATGGCAGGCATGCCACTGCTGATCTGGTGCTGCAGAGTATGGTCCTGCAGCAGGGATTGTGCTTTGTATTAGGTACGCTGCTGTTGTACCATTGCAGGTAATATATTAGCATGTCAACATGGTAAGCTGCCATCCATCGAGTGCGAGTGCATCAACATCTCAAGTACACTACTATCCAGCACATTCAACTTATCGCACAAAGTGGAGAGCCATGGCTGCCTCGCCTTCCTTGCACTGGCTTGCGTATCGCAGTCTGTTTTTTTTCTCAAACATTTCTCTTCGCCATTCCCTGTTTCCACATGTGAACAGTGCTATATTGGGGAGTGGTTCCGCCACTACCAGCCAATTGCCATGCGCCCTCCCTCAGACGCAGAGGGGCTGGGTCAGATTGCTGTGTCCAATGCAACGAGGAGACGACTCGCTGCCATCTCCTCCAATATGTGACTTGACTGAATGCTGCGGTGATGTACGAGTATATGGGAAACGGGTTTCAGTTTTAGGGTTGGTGAAATTTCATGCACTAGGATCGTTTTGAACATCACACAAACTGCATCATGGGAATTTTGTAGAAAGGGTAATTCCTGTTACCAATTTTGTTCCGAGCTCACTTTGAAACCCTCACACGCTTTGATGGCGGTTAGTAGGCTTGGGAAAATGATGCAGGAAAATTCTAATTGTAATCAATAGCAAAAACAACATGCAAGCCTACATAATTTGACGAGAGTTTACAACGAGGACGGATGGATAGGAATACCAACCGGCACTATCGTGTCGCGCGTCACAAACAGAGCCACCATTCCACACAAACCGCCCTAACCCTAGACTCCCTCCATTATCTTGCCTTCGAATTATGCCCAAATGCTCCGCACTCGATGGGCTTCCAGCTTGCCTTCCGCTTCCGCATCTATTGCGATCCGCCGCCGCCGCGTCGTCGCCTGGTTTCAAGAGTTGTACAACCAACTTGCAGCTGCAGCGTGCCGATATTCCGAGACCTCGACCCAGACTCTGAAACGTCGATTCGACGGAATAGCGATTATAGCCGCGTCTAGCAACTGAGATGTAGTACAGTGGTAGTTGTCGAGTCAACGCAGCTGATACTACTAACTATCATCGCATGCAAGGTACATCCACAAGCCGTGCAACCGTCGAATGCGGAGGCATCTCCGCAGCAGCGGCCTCAGAGCCGACGACGGCCACTCGACTTCCCTCAGAGTCTGCACCTGCGCAGTCCCTCATGCGCACCTACCCTGTCCCATGATGACAGGAGTCTTGTGCACTTGCACAGCACACCTACCTCTGCTCTCATCCGCGGCGCAGCGGCCTTAAGTGGATGGACGGAAGCTTCCAAGCCGACTCGAGGGCGAAGGAGATATGGTTGGACGATAGTAGCCCCCCACGCACCGCGCGAGAGACTGTTGAGTCGCTCGCGCCGCTTACCGCCCGTGCGCCGCGCACTACCCCATGAGTCGAGCTTGGAGAGTCGAGTTGAGTCGAGTCGGGATGACAGGGTAAGGGGGAGAAAGTAAAGAGGGATAGGGGAGACGGAGGGTGATATAAAGCTGTTAGAAGTAGGCTCTATCATTCACAGTCGTTCTCATTCGACCATCGATTAGCAAGCGGTCCTCTTTCACCACTTCGCTTCCTTCCCCTTTGGAGAAAGCATGGCCGTTCGTGCGCGAAATGCGGTTACTCCAAGAGCGATCTTCGCCAGTGGCGTCGCAGCGCTGCTCGTCACGTGTCTGCTGAGCGGCCTGAAGGCGCAGGCGCAGGCGGACTACGAGGCGCAGACGGAGTCGATCCTCCAGCAGGTGTCGCAGCAGACTTATCTCTCCGCCTTCACCGAGATCTTCACCGACTTCTGTGAGCTCACAACCCACCCATCTCACTCATCTCATCTTCTAACGCCTAATTCTTTCCGATTCCTGTGGTCTTGGTCAGTCCTGATTCTCGCCAACTTCTCTGAGCCTGACTCGTCATTTCACCCACCGCCTTTTTCTGATCCTCTTTTGAAAACTTTCCCTATTTTCTTGATCCCAACGTTTCGGAGAAACTACTACCTAGAAACACTCTTCTGCCTTCTCCCTGTTCCTCATCCTCCTCATTCCTCAACCCTCCTCCTTCGTCCCTCATCCTCTTTCCTCTTCCCTCATCCCTCCCCCTTTTTTCTGCGCGCAGACCAATCGGGGCAGCTGTACATCGACCAGCCGGCGACGCTGCTGATCCCCACCAACGTGGGGCACTGGCGGTACCAGACGCAGTGGAACACGCTCACGCCCAAGCAGAAGCGCCGCGTGCTGCGATACCATGTGCTCAAGGGCCGCTACACCACGCAGCAGCTGCTGGCCGCGGCGCCGCTCACGCTGTTCCCCACGCTGAACCAACCTGCCGCTGAACAAGACGGTGAAGCCCGGCGAGGTCTACTTGCAGTCCGTGCCCGCCATGAAGTTCGCCTCGCCTCTTAGCGTGCCCGACGCCGGCCTCACGGAGAACCTGGCGGCGCATGGAGTCACGTTTGTCATCCTGCCGCCCAACCTCAACTGCACCTCGTCTGCTTGCAAGAAGAGGCAGTTCTAGGCAAGGTGGGGCGTGGCAGCGCCAGCAGCAGCAGCAGCAGCAGCAGCAGCAGAAGCAGCTATGGAAAGGCCTTTGTTTCGTGGGATGTGTATGGTCGGCTTCTTAGCTCAGCTTGTGCGGCAGGAAAGGCGTGAATTTCCTTTGTGGAGCGGGGCAGTTTGTTGATTGTTTTTTATGGGAAATGGGTCAGGCAGGCATGCTGTCATGGGATGTTGTATATGTATCCTTTGTTTCAAGTATGCACTGCTACAATAATAAATTATCATCTTTGTCGTGGCTGCTGTTACAAAAAGTCCTTTGTTAGGGGGCCTTTGAAACTAAGTACCGGTAGTATTTGTCGACTAGTAAGGGAAGGGGGATACTAGAAGGGATGTCTATATGCACCCCCTACCTCACTGCAGCCTATCTACCTCGATATAAACATTTGACACACCCCAATAGGCTATGTAAGGGCCATGAAAACAAACAAGGCAAATAAATAGTGAACAGTCAAGAGAAGCAAAACGCAAATCTCAGGGTGAATCACGAAGTCACTGTTAAATACACCAACATAAGATATTACAAATGCTGTTAGATTTTACTGTAGTGTTCCTTTATAAGACTCCCAGCCCTCCAATAATTATACAATTATTGGAGGGCCAGAATTATTGGAGTCTAGAATTATTGGAGGGTAAGAATTATTGGCGAGTAGAATTATTGGTGTAGGATTATTGGTGTGGACAGGGCCCTCCTGATGGGGTGAGCTGCTGACATATATACCCTGCTCTGTCATTCCAGGAAATCAGTCAATTCCATTACTCTGATTCTGCTTTCAACCTTTTTAGTGCAAGTCTTCCAGCCTTGCTCTTTCTACGATCTAGCTTCCGCAACGTCGGCATCATGCCTTTCTAGCAGTCACCACACAGTCTGAGCACAAACAAGTGGCCACAAGGTTAGTTCAAGGGTTTACATATATATACAAATACAAAGACAAACAAAACAATAGGCCAAACTACAGCAACCGAGGGCCTACCTCAACAAGGCCTAGCTGCAGACAGAACCAGAAGAGGTCACAAGGCGGAAGGGCCTTGGTGAACATGTTTGCAGTGTTGGCCGCTGAGGCCACAAAGTCCAAGCGTGCCTGGCCGAGTCGCTGCAGCTCTCGCAGTAGAAAATACCTCACGTCGATGTGCTTCACTCTGCCCTCGAGTCGAGGCTATCGACACAGGAGGATCATGTCCTTGTTGTCAGCGAACAAGGTCAGAGCAGAGCGAGGCCGTTTACCAAGGTTGGCAAGCAAGAAGATCAATCAGCGAAGCTCCTGCGCAGCCATGGATCCGTCGTAGATCTCGGCCTCAGCGGTAGACTGCGCCACAGACTACGACCGAGTAGACCTCCACAACACAACACCAGAGCCCATTCTGAAGCAGTACCCCTAAGTTGACCTGCCGGTCTCCACGTCGTCGGCTTAGGAAGAGTCGCAGTGACCGGTGAGCACAACAGGCTATGACCCTCCAAGCACAAGCCCTATGCCCGATGTAGTCGCCAAGTACTTCGCTACTCTCATAGCTGCCGCCGAGTAAACAGGACGGTGTCTCCCAATCGCAACAAAGCGAGCCAGGATGCTGAGAGGAAAAGCGAGGTTCGGACGATTACCGGTCATCATGTACATGAGGCAACCCACTAGCTGACCACTAGACTCAAAGGGTTCGTCAGGAACAGGAGCGGCGAGCCTGTGGTTAACGGCAAGAGGAGAGGGCTGTGTGGTAGAGAACTGAAACCGGAACCGCTGAAGAACCTGCTGCACCATGTGTGACTGAGTCAGTGTGATGGTGCGAGCGACTCTGTCCCTTGTGATCTGCAGGCCATGGTAGTACTTCACCTCAGCCAAAGCAGCCCTGTTTGCTGTAGCGAAGACCAAGTCGTCGACGTAGACGAGGACGAAGTAAGGTGTGGGCTCAGGAGGAGCGAACAGCGACGGGTCGGCAGTAGAAGGTATAAAACCAAGGTCAGCAAGTGTGGAGCAAAGAGTGCCGTGCCACTCACGAGGCGCGTGGCGGAGACCGTAGACTGATAGTCTCAGGCTCCATTGGGTCCCAGGCAGAAAAGTGCCAGTGAATCCAGGAGGAAAGCGCAGCTAGATCTCCTCATACAGGCGGCCCTAGACAAAGGCAGTGAAGAAGTCTAGTGAGTGCAGCTCGTAGTCTCGCTGTGCTGCAACGTGAAGTAACACCCGAAGAGTAGTCATCTTTGGGGTCGGGGCGAAGGTATAGAAAAAGTCAACTCTCTTACGCTGAATGAAGCCTCTAGCTATGTAGCGCGCCTTGAAGATAGGCGGAGATCCAGGCAGTCGTTCACCTTGAAGATCCACATGCCATCGCCTACGTAGGAGGGGGAACTGCGTCGACGTAAGTACCTGTGGATCTCCAAGACGCCATTTCTGAGTCCATGGCCGCTATACACTATGAGGCCTTCTGCTCCGACACTGCCTCACGGTACGTGCGAGGATTCGGTATGTCAAGGGCGTCAGGGTCTTGTCAGAATGAACAAGAGTGAATGCACTAAGAAAAGGGTGGGTACAAGTAGGAAAACCTAAACTTGCTGTACCCCATAGTAACTACCCCACTACAACCTAAACAGACTGTAGAGTATATGTTTGACACACCCCCATAGGCAAAGTTGGGGAGAGCAAGGGGTCACAAGACCAGTCAAGAAAAGCAAAGCAAGCCCAGGATGGATCACAACGTCACCACGCATTCTGAGCACAAGCAGATGGCCACAAGGCCAGTTCACATGCATAGTTATATAGCATAGAACAAACAGGACAGTGATCAAAACCTAGCAAGTGAAAACATGCAGGTATAGATATATAGATCACAGTACAAGCAGAG